CCAAAACTTTTTTTTAAAGATTTTATTTTTAAGTAATCTCTACACCCAACATGGGGCTCAAACTCATGACCCTGAGATCAAGGGTGGAATGCTCTTCCAACTGAGCCAGCCAGGGGCCCCGGGAATGCAAACTTCTGCAACCATTGTGGAAGACAGTATGTAGGTTCCTCAAAAAATGAAAACTAGAATTATCATATGATCCAGTAATTCCATTACTGGGTATTTACCCAAAGAATACAAAAGCACTAATTTCAGAAGATATACGTACCCCTAGGTTTACAGCAGCACTATTTATAATAGGCAAATTATGGAAGCAACCCAAGTGTCCATGGACTGATGAATGGATAAATAAAAGTGGTATATATACACAATGTAATATTATTCAGCCATAGAAAAGAATGAAATCTTGTCATTTGCAACAACATGGATAGAGTTAGAGAGCATAATACTAAGTGAAGAAGTCAGTCAAAGACAAATACCATATGATTTCACTCATGTGGAATTTATTAAACAAAACAAACCAACAAAGGGAAAAAAAGAAAAACAGAAAATAGACTCTTAACTATAGAGAACTGGAGGTTTCTGGGATGGGGGAATGAGGGAAATAGGTGATGAGGATTAAAGAATATACTTATTGTGATGAGTGCTGAGTAATGTATAGAACTGTTGAACCACTATATTGCACACCTGAAATTAATATAACACTGTATGTTAATTATAATAAAATTTAAAAATTTTTAAATTTTTCCAAAAAATGTATTGCAAAAGCAGGCAGACGGTACATAAACAAATGAGTGTGGCTGTGTTCCAATAAAACCTCTTTAGAGTCACTGAAATTTTAATTTCATGTAATTTTCACATGCTACAAAATAGGATTTTTTTCATCTATTTTACATTGTAAACATCATCCTTAGCATCCAAGCTATATAAAAGGCAATAGGCCAATTTGGCTTATGGACCATAGTTTGCCAATCCTGCCCTAGAGTTTTAGTACTTGCTTCTTTTTTTAAAAAAATTTATCATCTTTATGGGGCACCTGGGTGGCTTATTAGGTTAAGTGTCTGCCTTCGGCTCAGGTCATGATCCCTGGGTCCTGGGATGGAGGCCTGCGTTGGGCTCTCTGCTCGGTGGGGAGCATGCTTGTCCCTCTCTCCCTCCTTCTGCTCCTCCCTCTGCTTGTGCTTTCTCTCTCTCTCAAATGAATAAATAAAATCTTTTTAAAAAATTATCATCTTTAGGGGCGCCTGGACTCAGTCAGTTAAGCATCTGCCTTTGGTTCAGGTCATGATCCTGGGGTCCTGAGATCAAGCCTGTGTTGGGCTCCCTGCTCATCAGGGAGTCTGCTTCTCCCTCTGCCCCTCCCTCCACTTGTGTGGGCTCTCTCTCTCTCTCTCTCAAATAAAATCTTTAAAAAGTTATCATCTTTAGAAACTCAACACCTAACAATTTTAATGACATGTTTTTCTCTTTTTTTGTGCATCATGTTCTCAAACCCTGCTTCTTCCTTTTGAGATCATTTTTCTTCTTACAGACGTATATCCTTTCATCTTCTTTTATTCAGATTAATAGCTAACATTTAAAGGATGCTTATTTACATGCTAGGCACTGGTCTAAGTACATTACATAAAAGAATTTACTTAATCTGTACAATATCCTATGAGATAGATCCTATGAAATGTCCTATCCTATGAAAAGTCTTTATTTCAGCTTCACTCCTGAATAATAGTTTGGCTGGTAAAAGAATTCTAGATTTGCAATTATTTTCCCACAGCACTTTATTTTTTTAAAGATTTTATTTATTTGTCAGAGAGAGAGCGCACGTGCAAGCAGGGGGAGAAGCAGGCAGAGGGAAAAGCAGGAGGAAGGAGAAGCAGGATCCTGCTGAACAAGGAGCTGGATGCGGGACTCGATCCCAGGACCCTGGGATCATGACCTGAGCCAAAGGCAGACGCTGAACCAACTGAGCCACCAGTCATCCCTATCCCACAGCACTTTAAAAATAATGCTGTAAGGGCGCCTGGATGGCTCAGTTGGTTCAGCGACTGCCTTCGGCTCAGGTCATGATCCTGGAGTCCCGGGATCGAGTCCCGCATCGGGCTCCCTGCTCAGCAGGGAGTCTGCTTCTCCCTCTGACCCTCCCCCCATCTCATGTGCTTTCTCTCTCATTCTCTCTGTCTCTCAAATAAATAAATAAAATCTTTAAAAAAAAAATAATGCTGTAAAATGTCAATTTAGTTTTTGTCTCTTTGTAGGTATCTGACTTTTCTCTCTAAAAGCTTTTGCAGTTTTTTCTTTTTCCTTTATTAGTAGGTGTGAATTTTTTTTTAATCCTGCTTTGTCCTCAATGAAATTTTTCAACCTGTGTACTCATATATTTCTTTAGTCCTGGGAAATTCTCGGCCATTATCTTTTTTTGCATTGCCACCATTCTCTCTATTATAGGATCTTATAATCCTATCCCCCATGGTTCTTTTTTATCTTACTCTACCTTTGAATATTGCATTCTGGAATACTTGTTCATTTAATCTTTCATTTCACTAATTTGTTCTTCAGCTCTGCTTAGTTTACTACTGAGCTCATTTTATTTCAAACTTCATCAATCCAGGGATTGCAATTGTTTTTTTCTCATAGCTGTCACTCTTGTTTTCATGCTTTATCTCCCTTTCTCTCTTTGAGGATATAAAAAGTATTTCCCAAGTCCTTTTCAGATTGCTCCATTTGCTCTCTTTGCTCAAGAATTTATTCTCTCTCTCTCTCTCCTTTTCTTTTTTTTACATTTTGTGGATCACTCCTGGTGTCTGTGTTCCTTAGATGCTTTGTGATTCTTGGGTTGAGATCATTTGTTGATTTCTCTCATGAGCACCCTGGGTAGTAACACTCTTTGACCTGGCAAGAGGGATAGCTCCCCAGCCTCATTCTTTAGAGTCCTGCCCATCATCATAGGATGAGGAGTTCAACAGGCTATGCCCAGCTGGAGCTACTCTACTCTTAGAAACCCTGAATTCCTTGAACAGATGGCCCAAGCCTCCTTCCAAAAATCTACATGGACTTCTTCCCAGAAGTCAGACTCCCAAGGGCAGACTATATGCTGCTGTTTGTTCACCCCTTTTTTTTTTTTAAGATTTTATTTATTTGACAGAGAGAGAGGGAGAAAGAGCATAAGCAGGGGGAGGGGCAGAGGGAGAGGGAGAAGCAGGCTCTCCGCTGAGCAGGTTGCCAGATGCAGGACTGATCCCAGGACCCTGGGATCATGACCTGAGCTGAAGGCAGATGCTTAACTGACTGAGCCACCCAGGCACCCCTGTTTGTTCACCCTTAAGCCCAAGGGGTAGCCAAGTGGCAGCTGTTTACAGCAATATGTACACAGAGATTGGAAAAACAAGGTGAGGTAATCACATGCATACATGACAGGGCCCTCATGATGTGGAACAGAGCCAGAGAAAAAAGGCAAGTCACAGGCAGCCTCTTCCCTTATTGCCCCATTCCACCAAAGAATCCCAAGGAATCTAAGAATTTTCAATTTAAACTTGTCCTTTCAACTTGTTATAAAGATATATTTGTGAAAAATATAGAATTCTACTTAAAATATTTTACTTAACAGATATTAATTTGATTTATAATTTTTGAATATCTATACATATAGTGTATAAGCCTCCATTTAAACTCCTACTCAGGGCCTCACAAATGAGGGGATAGGCCTGACTCAGTGGTTTTTACTGATACTTCAACCTCTGTGTTGGCAGACACTGGCCTTCAGTCCTACCTGTGGGCAGGAGAAAAGTCCTGCTTCTTCTAGTTCAAGCAGGCAATTCAGATCTGGCTCCCCACCATTCACAGTGCCTGCTCATCTTCATAGGCTCCTAGCTATTCCTTTCTTTTAGGAAGACGTCTCCAATTCTAAATTATGGAAATTTTCTTCCTTTTTTAAAAGTGTGTGGTGTGTGTATATGTGTACACACACACTAATATACACATAACCAATAATATATTCATACACACATACACACACACACACACACACACACACACATACTAACATATATATTTAGAGCAGGAGGGAAAAGTTTCAGCATATTTTTAATCTGTCTTCTAGGTCTGAAAGTAGAGCCTCTGCTTTCAAGTATGGATGTCAAGAATGCTTCATCTGAATTTGTAAGGTGAGCCAGGAAACAAGAATCAAAACTAGAGCTCAGATATGAACATCTTTATTGTCTATGATGTAGACTTGACCACAGCAAACCATCACAACTGGGAAACAAAGGTAATCTCATGTTAATAAAAACCATTACAGGGTACCAACTATCTCCACCACCTGGGATGAGCTGGCCTCTCTGGCTCTTCTGTTTCCCAGGTATAATCAAGTGAGTTCAAGAAGCTAATGTCTAGTCATTTCCAAAACCCCCTTTCCTTAATTTTTCTAATTTCACATAATATAGGCCTAGGTCAGATTTTATTGCATTCTAAGAGTCAATTTCTGAGCCTGAACCATATTAGCATTTCAGATATAACAGCAAAAGAAATCACCCAAATCATCTAATATGGTATGTAAGAGAGCTTTGATAAATTGCAAGATATTTTGGCAAAGATAATACTGTTACATATTATAGAATATATATTCAGTATTATACACTCAAAAAAGGTTTATGTGTAAAGAGGGAGTAAGGATTGCTCAATGAAAAGGAATTGATTTACTAGGAAAAATAGTGGGGGTGGGGGGAGTTGAGTAGTCAGCAAATAGCCACAAAATTAAGCTGAAATAGAACTTCCGCTTCAGGGATAAAGTACAATATAAGCCTCCTTGCAATGGACAGGGTATACTCTCTTTGAACAAAAGTATCAGTAGAAGTATGAGTCTATGAAGTAGCTCTGTTGAGCAAGACATTTTAAATAGCAACACTTTATACCATAGTTGCCTCTGACACATCATTTCCAGGAACTCAGTAGCATGCACGGTTATCAGGACAGGCATCCATAAATATTCAAGACAATTACCAACTCACCCCAAGTAAGAGTAGCCAGGGTCAAGAGCTCAGGGATTGAATCCTGACATACTACATATTCTGGAGAATATGGATCAGTTTGAACTTCAGCATCCCGATAATCAGTCTGAGTACCCACAGTGTACTTTGAAGGTACAGAAGGGTACTTAGCAGAAGTAGGAGGGAAAATATATGCCTCTGTCCTAAAAGGGAAAATTATTTTAAAAATTAAAACCTGATCCAATCACTTAGAATACTATACAGTCAAGCAGAAATAAATCCTCATCTTCACCAAGCCCATTCCTCCTTTAAACATGCACAAATTCATGAATCCAGTGTAACCAGGATTGTGCCCAATTATCTTGAGAGAACCGCCTTGTTAGTCTCACCTCTGCCAAGAAACTGAAGGGATATAAAAGCCCAAGTCTACTCACAAAAGTACCTATTTATCTGTGTATCACGGGGCAGGACTGTAGTCTAGAAAAGTAGATTATACAGTTACTTCTAAACCTGTTGAGAATTGCTACTTCCTGGTTTCTTTTTTCTCTGCTTTTAGTTATACAACCAAATTTAATTGTTTCCCTCTAGAAATTCAGGAGCAGAGAAAAGAGATGAGATGCTTCTGATTTTTTAAAAAGGCAAGGCTCTTTTGAGATAGATGACTCAATAATTAATGCTAGGATTACTTGGTTAACTACGGAAGTTACCTCATCCCTTGGACAAAAATTAGTTCCAGATATTTTAAGGCATCTAATGTAAAAATGAGACTATAAAAGTACTAACAGGAAACATAAGTAAATATACTATCTTTGAGTGAAAATCTTTTTTAGCATGGCTCAAAAGCCAAAAACTATAAAAGGAAATGAATTAAGATTAAGTTGAAACTTCTATACCTCAAAGTGTCATGAACAAATTTAAAATATGAATAGCACACTTAGAAATAGATTTTACAACATATATGATAAAAATTAAATACCCTTTCTGTACAAAAAGCCCTTGTAAATCAATAAGACAGTTAAATACCAACAGAAAAATGCATAACAATTCACAAAAATGAAAACAAACATGAAAAAATAATGAACATAACTAGTAATCAAAGAAAAGTAAAATAAAACCACAAGATGCTCTTATTATATCACATAAGCAAAGATTTAAAAGATTGAAAATACCCAGCATCAATGAAGTTGTGAAGAAACAGGCATTCTCATAAACTGTTGATTGAAATAAATAGATATAACCTAACAGGTAACTTAGCAATATATATCTGACCTTTACAATACTCTTTTGCCCCAGCAAATGTACTCCTAGGAATTTATTCTAGGAAATAACTGGACAAGTATACAGAGATATATGCAAACACATTCATAAAGTCTGATGTGTAAGAATAAAAACTTACAAACTCTTTTTTAATGGCCAATTAAAAAATGGTTGTACCTGAGGTTATTAGGCATCAACCTTGGATCCATATTTTCATCTTGTTTTTTTTATTCTGGCTATTTTTAAGTACAGAAAAAAATTTTACATTAATTCATTTAAACATATGTCTACTCTTAACATAATTTTTATAGCAAGTATGATAGCACATATGCTTTAATGTTCTAGTGCAGGGCTTTTTTCTTTTTCTTTTCTAAGATTTTATTTTTAGATGTCCATCAACTGATGAGTGGATAAAGATATGGTATATGCCTACGATGGAATATTACTCAGCCATCAAAAAGAATGAAATCTTGCCATTTGCAACGACGGAACTAGAGTGTATTACGCTAAGCGAAATAACTCAGAGAAAGACAAATACCATATGATTTCACTTATATGCAGAATTTAAGAAATGAAACAGATGAACATAGGGGAAGGGAAGGAAAAATAAAAACAGAGAGGGAGCAAAGCATAAGGTCCTCTTAACCATAGGGAGCAAACAGAGTTGCTGGAGGGGAGGTAGGTGAGGGATGGGGTAACTGGGTGATGGGTATTAAGGCACTTCATGTAATGAGCACTGGGTGTTATATGCAACTGATGAATCACTAAATTCTACCCCTGAAACTACTAATACACTATATGTTAATTAACTTTAAATAAAATCTAAAAAATAAAATAAAGATTTTATTTTTAAGCAATCTCTGCATCCAGTGAGGGGCTTGAACTCACAACCCCGAGATCAAGAGTCACACACTCCACTGACTGAGCCAGCCAGGCACCCCAGCAGTGCGTTTTTCTTTTACTTTTGAGTTTGCTTCCCTTAATATCTTCACCTCCCTTTTCTACCTATAGCAGTACCCTCTCTGTATATCCTAGATCTAGAATATATACTAAATTATCCTTGAATTATCCTTGAATCTTGCTGTATTTTTATCCACACTTATTTTTCTACACTCACAAAAATATACACATAGTTTTATTTTATTGTTTTGCTAATATGGAAATCATATTATGAATACATTTTTGCATCTTGTCTTTTTAACTAAACCATACTTCATGGAAATCTTTCCAATCTATTCATGTGGCTCTTTTTCAAGAAAAATCAAACTTAAGTGATCACCACCAATAGAAAAACTACTTCAAAAAATATGACACACCTATAATGGAATTTATGCAACTATTAAAAGTAAAATGTAATCAGAATTTATAAACATACAAAAATGTTCATGATTCAATGTAAAGTAGGAAAAAAGCACACTATAAAGCAGTATGTACAACAGGAGTACATCTTTATATTTAAAAACTGTGTTTTGTGCACAGAAAAATGCCTAGATGGATATACAATAAAATAACAATTATTTCTGGATAGGATAACAGATTTTTTTCATGTTTATAGTTTTCTAAATTTTCTAACTTTTTTTTTAACCTAGACATGTACTACTATTAAAATAAGGAAAAAAAAATACAGCCATTTCCATTTAAAAGAAAATATGTTTTCTAGTTGGTAGAAGAATTGTTAAATTACATAAACAAAAAAACTAAATATAACGGCAAAAAAGAGAAAGATTTCCATTTTAAAAATAGTCAAAAGCAATGGGAGGTGTTTATAAAGAAGCAAAACATACAGAGCTTAGCTCTAAGAAAAATGCACTTTAAGTCAGCTAGAAAGAAGCACCTACTTGGAGGTTCAACCTGTAATGAAATAATACCTTAAATTGTTATTAATGCTGAATTCTAATGGTATTGAAATCATTTTTTCAGCAGCTGCTATGAATTTCTAACCTATGTAGATAATTTAGGTATTTATAATTTGTGTTTTCAGCAGAAATTATTTGACTATAAAGATTCTAGTTGAGGAAATAACTTCAAATCAGCTTTATATCATCCCAGGTCATATGAATATTATTATGTAACACCATTAGTTTGAATCAAGAGAATAAACTGTTTTTCCAAATTAAAAATTACACATTTGAACCATCTGATCAAATATGCTAAGATTATGGTAAAGCCTAATGAATCCTTCTGACTAATCTTTCTGATGACTTAAGATCCTTCTAGGTGAGTCAGAGGAGAGGATGCAAAGGGGGAATGCTACTTTGACAGAAGTCCTACAGTAACTTAATAGTTTCTTTCCTAACTAACTTGTTATTTTTCTCCAACCTATTCTCTTTTTCTCCATTTCAGCTGGTTTTAGGGGAGAATAAACTGAATAAGAAAGAACAATGATCTCTTTCCTACCCCTCCCCAACTTCAGTCGAACTGAAAAATGAGAAAGACCCCATATCTGCTGCTTACCTGGCTTGAGTCCTGGATCCCATCCACAGGCTCACCAGTATCCTGACAGCACCTAGCACTGCTCTGTTCCCTCTCTCCAGACCCTTTCTCCTCCACTACTGCACAGGCACCAGAAGCATGCACTGTCTGCCATACCCTCTTCTAGATTTTCCCTTCCAGGCCCAACAAAACTAAACCTCACAAAGAGGGGTTTCACAAAGTAGCAAACCCTGTTCTGTAATTATGAACTCTAATGAATGTATTTTTTAAAGACTTAATATTTTCAGAGCAGTTTTACATTCACAGTAAAACTGAGGAAGGTACAGAGATTTCCCATATACACTTTGCCTCCACACATGCATAGCCTGCTCCATTATCAATATGCATTTAAGATTCCTCCATATCTTTTCATGACTTGATAGCTCATTTCTTTTTAGTGATGAATAATATATTACATTGTCTCAATATACCATAGTTTATCCATCAACCTGGTAAAGGACATCTTGGTTGCCTCCAAGTTTTGGCATTTATGAATAAAGCTGCTATAAATACCTATGGGTTTATGTGCAGGTTTTGTGTAAACGTAAGTTTTCAACTCCTTGGGTAAACACCAAGGAGCATGATTGCTGGATCATATGGTAAGAGTATGTTTAGTTTTATAAGAAACAGCCAAACTGTCTTCCAAAGTGGCTATAGCATTTTGTATTTCCCACCAGCAATGAATGAGGGTTCCTAGTGCTGATGTTATCAGTGTCCCAGATGGTGGCCATTCTAGCAAGTGCAGAGTGACATTTTATTGTTTTAATTTGCATTTCCCCAGTGACATATGATGTGAAGCACCTCTTCATATGCTTATTTGCCACCTGTATATCCTCTTTGTGAGGTATCTGTTAAGGTCTTTGGCCCGTTTTAAAACCAGGTTGTTCTTCTTGTTGTGTTTGAAGAGTTCACTACATAGTTTGGGTAACAGTCCTTTAGCAGATATGTCTTTTCAAATATTTTCTATCAGTCTGTGGCTTGTCTTCTCATTCTATTGACATTGTATTTTGTACATAGGAAGTTTTTAACTTTATTTACTTATTTTCTTTAAGTTTTTACTTAAATTTCACTTAGTTAACATACAGTGTAATATTAGTTTCAGGAGAATTTAGTGATTCATCATGTACATATAACACCCACTGCTCATCACAAGTGTCCTCCTTAATCCCATTAACCCATTTAGCCCATTCCCCTGCCCACCTCCCCTCCAGCAACCCTCAGTTTGTTCTCTATAGTTAAGAGTCTGTTTTATGGTTTGCCTATCTTCCCCCCCTACATTCATCTGTTTTGTTTCTTAAATTCCACATATAAATGAAATCAAATGGTATTTTTCTTTCTGACTTATTTTGCTTAGCATAATATATTCTAGTTCCATCCATGTCATTGTAAATGGCAAGATTTCATTCTTTTTTATGGCTGAGTAACATTCCATTATATATATATGACAACTTCTTTATTCATTCATCAGCCAATG